TTCGACCTCTTTCCACCCTTCTCAGCGCCTCCAACGAACAAGACCTGTTGGCCCTCGGAGCTCACTCTCGAGTCGGGCTGAAGAACCACGGTCACCAAACGAGTGCCCCTTAGGATCAAAAGATGAGCCAAGTTGATCAACAGGTACATATTCGGTCCTCGACTGTTTTTCTTTCCTAACCGTAGTCCTCTTTACAAAGATTGAAGGTTTGTAGTCCACTTTGGCAAGGATCTTGGGGTCCACGGAAAGCTCTCTCAAATATTTCAACATGATGCAATTCAGTTATCCAGGGAAGAATAATAAGAACGAATGCAATGTCAAGCCTGCGACCTTATTTATAGAGCACGATGGACACAAAATCCAAGGGAAGGATAATAATTAAATCAAATTTATCAAATTTAGTAATCACGAATGCTAATAATTTCCATGTCCTTATTGTACCTATCATTTCTAATGAGCAAGAAAATTTGAAGAATTAATATTTATACACCAAAGCTTCAACACAAATCTCAAAGTAATCTAACGACCCGGACGAAGACCGGACGGTCGAGATGTCCTAGCATCTTACAACCAACCACATGATCAAGAATCAACCGACACAACTATTGCGAAAAATTCGAACGAGATACCATGCCTACCATTCCGTTCGACCAGAGCGCAGGCCAGAACCTTTGATTGCAGCCAATCGACCAACCCACCTTTACCGAGACAGATGAGATCGCCACTTAGCTGACACAAGCACAATCACCACTCAATCGATTGACTAAATCAATCAAATTCAGACAAATCGAGTAAATAATTATCGTCATATTAGAATTCAAATTGTAATATCTGACACAAGCACAATCACCACTCAATCGATTGACTCAATCAACCAAATTCAGACAAATCGACTAGACATTTATCGTCATACTAGAATTCAAATTGTAATACAAATACGGTATGAAATCCATACGATGAATTCAAATATTGATTGTATTAAGAGCGATTTGCATAATTTCTCCATCTTTTCTATAATTATACAAAACACTTCTCTATAAGTTGGAGACAAAAATACGAATAAAGCATCTCTCCCTCACGCCCTCACGGATATCCTTAAGGGGAATTCTACTTATTTTGATTGTATTAAGAGCGATTTGCATAATTTCTCCAAATTTTCTATAATTATACAAAACACTTCTCTATAAATTGGAGATAAAAATACGAATAAAACATTTCTCCCTCACGGGTATCCTTAAGGGGAATTCTAGACTTATGTACTTATTCCACACTCTCTCTCCTTCCTCGTTCCCCCTTTCTCCTTCATCTGGTTACAATCTCGCGGCGTGTTCGCAAAGAAAAATTTAGGTTTCAACAGGATTAAAACTGTCACTTGTAAATAATTAAGGACTATTTTGATTCTTTACTAAAATATTATAAATGTTAAAATAAAAATTTTGATGTGAGAAATGTAAATACTTTGGAATTACGGGCTCTGTGCATTCTTCTTAATTTTTTTAACTATAAATTTTCTATCACACAGAATAATCATCGGCGAGACCGAATCAGAAAGAAATGCCACGTGTACTTATTGTATCCCGATGGTCGTCGTTCCGGGACCAGGGTTACGAATGACGTTTCCGCAGTCTTTCAATGTAATACCAGTCACCGCTGTGTTCTCAATAAAACGGGGAGGATACCATACGTTTCGTTCTCTTCGGCTCTCTCTCTCTCTCTCTCGACCCTGAATCGTCCTGAATCGTTTTCCGTTTTTCTGAATCCTAATGGCGTCGGAACCCCTCGATGATCTGCGATCGCTGATGGCATCTCACTCCCCTCCTCTGGATGCTCTTGTCGTCCCGTCGGAGGACAACCATCAGGTCATCTAGGGCTTATTGTTTGATTTATTTGATTATAATATCAGTGGAATTATTTGATCTATTTGATGCTACAGAGTGAGTATGTATCGGATAGGGATAAGAGGCGCCAATTTATTACTGGATTTACTGGGAGCGCAGGTGAGGATTTCTTCTTTTTCTTAAACTCTGGTTTCATCAGTTTCTACTTGGTTTTGCACACTTATTGCCTGTTTGCCTAGGTAGGAGTCGGTAAATTTTGTTAATATGGATTTATTGAAGCCTAATTGAGTTAAATTCTGAAAACCGGTTGATATGATGCGTATTCAATTCAGTTAAGTCCAAATAAATGTTTGGCTATTTATTTCAGGACTTGGCATTCATGCGAATGAGATATTTCATTGTATTTATTTTGCTTATATCATTCTTAATAGATTAATTAAATCATATTTAATTTATATTTTATCTTAACTAATAATTAATTAGTGATATATTAGGCTAATTAAATGTTAACTAATATAATGACAAATTAAATCAAAAAGAAAAAATAGCCATCATTTAAGTTTATAAATTGTATAAGTATCAAATATTAATTATTAAGATTAATCTAATTGCTTGATTAAAACATATATGTTTTAATCTGTTTGGTTTCTTGTTAATAATTTTAATTAATAACATATTTTACAATTTTATCTTTGTTAATTAAATTATAATTAGTTGAGATTATGATGCGGGAGCTTACTGTGGATGTAGTACTATAGTTCCTACAGTACCGCGGTCCAGCTAAGCAGTCTCTCGGCCCAAGGGACTTGCCACCCAAAGGGAGAGGATCCTCCCTTTCCAAATCTGCCCCCCATTTCCTTTCCTACTCCTATTCCTTTCCCATTTCTCCTCCTTCCCTATTTTTATTTCTTTCCCTTTCTATGCCTTCCTATTTCTTTCATTTTCTTTACTATTACCTTCTATGTCTATCTACTATTATCTATTATATATATGCTGATTTGCTTGCATTAGAGGGAGACTTGGAAACTAGGTTGGATCATGATTTAAAAGAACCATTAGGATGATTATTCTCTGTTGGTGGAGAGAGTCAGGGGCATTGAGTTGGATCTAGAAGCTATTCATAAGAGGAGGGATATTAAAAAAAGAAGAAACTTAGAGGGATTCAAGTTTTCTTACAGTTCTCACAACAGACAATCCTTCCGGTCAGTTGATGCAAGTGCTAAGAATGCTAGTTCTAGCAGTGTTGAAACTCAATTTGAAGCTAAGAAATATGACAATTGTGGAAAGTCTCACATGTAGGAATGTCTGTCCGGATTCCATACTTTGTTTGGGTGTCACCAGCCATGACATATGACGAAGAACTGCCTCGGATTAGGTCAGAGGGCTTTGACTGATTTTAGGGGCAGTATTGCACTACCCCAGAGGAGCTTTGACAAATCGAGGGCAGTTGAATCTTCATTATCAGTACCAAATGCAGGACAAACTCAACAAATTGTTCAACCCATAGTTTATACACTTTCGTAGTGGGAAGCTAAGGTCTTCCCATATTTCATCAGAGATATTTTTTACTCATGATAATTTTAACCCAGTGCACTCATCATAGAATTCATGCATGTCGGCTCTAAATATTCAATGCAATAATTTTAATGATAGATATCATATTTCTTCAGAATAGGCCGATAAGACTATTGTTTGATTAAGGAGCATCACTCTATTTTAGCTGAGAAACTAGTTAAAATGATGTGATTGAATATTATTTCTATACCTGTGATATTATTAGTTAGAATGTCAAATGATGCTTTTTTGGAAATTAATCAATCATATGAGGTTAAGCTTATGATTGGCGGGAAGTTATTTTACGCCCAACTTATTATTTTTGGTGGAATTTGATGTGATTTTAAGCATGAATTAAATGTCTAAAAAATTTGTTATTATTGATTGCAATAAAAAAAACTGTCAGACTGTTTGTTCTCGTCTTATTTAATTCTAAATCTCGAGCTGGATCGTGATAACTTGGTTGTCTTTGATTTTAGTTTGTCATTTCTAAGACATTTCTTCATTCCAAGGGTTGTATCAGATGACGAGAAAGTGCTCCAACTATAAGTCGTTGGGGGTAGTGTTTATCTACACTCATTCCATCCCTTCCTGAGGTCACTAGCCTATTTAGGGCTCGTCTTTGCCGCGTGAAGCCCTTCAGGACATGTCTTTGCTGCTGTTAACCCTTCCAGGCCTATTCTTGCTGCTGCCAGCCCCTACAGGGCCTGTTCCGGCTACTGTTCTGTCTGTCCAGCCCCAGAGACATGTTCATGCTTCTGTCCGTTCTACCATCTGCTCTTCTTGTTGCTATCCAGTTCACTGTCACCTCTTCCGTCTATTGTCCAACCTCTAGACACTTGTTCCTACTATTGTCCAGTCCACCGCCACAGTTCCTACTCCTCTCTATGCCACAACTACTTGCTGCCAGCCTCCTCACAGCAGACCTCCATCACTCCTACACCATCCAACGCCACAGCCACCAGCTACCAGCCATCTTCTAACAGTGTCACAACTTCCTTCCTCCCTTTAAGGGCCTGCCGCTCTCCTCTAGAGAGTCGTTTATGTGTTTTGTGTTTTTTTTTTTGTTACTTTGCAGTGTCTTCGTCTCTTACTGTTTGCATGTTTGCGTTGTTTTATGTTGAGGATTCGTCTTTGTAACTTTTTTAAATTCAATAATAAAATTTGTTGTTCGGTCATCGTTTAGGTTAACTCCGGTATTAGATTAATTAATTAATAGTTATTAATTTATGAAAGTTAATATAATAAATTCTATTTGATCACATTTAATAATAAATAATATTTATTTCTATAAATTAATGTCTTTTTAATTAAGATTAATCATCAAGATTAATTTAAAGCTTTAATTTATCGATGTAATTTGATTAATTATCTTCTTATTATTAATAACAACTTTCCTTAAACTTTTATTCCCCAAAATTTGAAAACTTACCCTTGATTATAAAGATACCTGAAAGTTGTTGCGGGTGCTCGTTTGAGAAGACAATGACGCGAGCAACTAGAGAAGGCATCAACTGGAGCATGGACATCGAAGAAAAATTGGTGTTTGCGAGACTTGTGGATTCAAGTTAAATTCAGACAAATGCTAGGATTATTAAATTTATGATTTAAGGCAAAGAAATGGAACTTATGATCCTATAAAAGTTAAAGCTATCATTTTGGTTGTTTGCAGGATTTAGTTAAATCTTGTTGCCAAATAGCCCCCTAAAATGTGCATTTTTAGAATACAAGAGACTTAACTAGTTCATGGAAATCTACCCAGTTTAGGTGAGTTCCCCTATTTTGCGGGACTCTTCATGCTCATGAAGACTCGCCCAGCTCAGAAAGATTTGCTCAACGTAGAGGGACTCTTCTGGCTTAGAAGCATTTGCCCCAACTTGAAAGTCACCTGCCCAAACCTAAGAAGTCACTCTTCAAAATTGCAATAGAACCTAGATAATCCCATCAGTTCGACCAAGTGACCGAATTTATTCCTTTGTGACTTCATCTATTTAACAATTGAAGCCTCCGATGCACTCTTCGAGGTTGCCAGCTACGAGTACTTACTAGGATCTCGATTACTGTGTCTACGAATGCATAATAGTACTATCATATTTTTTTTATTTAATCTTCTTGTCTAATTATTACATGTAGCACCCAAAATTCTGTAAGCAAGAGAGCATGCCAAGACATCTAAGGCCTACACTATTCAAAGCCTTGAACTATAGTAATTGTCTTTAAACTTTCTCTCTCCTTTTCTGTTGTCTTATCTATTTTAATCATGCATATCTTATTATTAGTAGGGTGTAAGAATTATTCTTGAACAAATTTAATTAAAAAATTTTACTTTGAGATTCGGATGTTGGAATTCTTTGTGCTGAAAAAGCCCACCTTTTTATCATTTGAGTTCTAATAGCTCCTCTATTTATCATACGATAGTAGAATGTATCTACTTCATAGTGATTTTGCACTTAGAAAAGAGATCATTTTATGTAGTTATTCAATTCGAAGGCTTCTCCCTTAATGGGAGTTGTGTATTTCTAGTGTAAATCAGTATCGCGTCTCATGTATAATGGTTTGTTTCGAGTAAGATTGAGAGTCATGGTTTAGTATGAAATGCTGTTGAGTTATTTGTGCATGTGTATTGAAGCAATACAAATTTTATTGATTATGCAATTATAATTTGATTAGTGGTTTTTATTGTTTTGGGATTTCAAGGCATTTAGCAATGGAAAAATCCAATTCAAAAGAGTAACAATCCTTCAACTCGGGGTGGGTTGGGGAGGCCCGTCTACACCTCATGAACGATGTAGCTGGTTGCTTGACCAAGGTTATGTTGAATTCTTGGGCCAAAAAGACTATATATAAGAATTTGGTTGACCAAATTGTTTTCTAATCTTGGGGGTTTAAGGTTTTGAATGCAACTGTGATCAATCACAAGTTAATAAGTTTTACAACCATAGTTTAGAAAAACAATAATCATTAAAAATTGGTGCTAACAAGTGACCATAGAACCTTCATGCTTTTGTCTATTCTCATCTTCCCGGTTCTTAGAAAATTAATAAATTGAATTACAATAGTATGTTTTCATTCTCAATGAGAAACATAACACGTAAAAGTATGCTTAACTTCAACAAACCGTTGGCAAATAATTTACATACTATGGAATTCGTATGATAATTTAATTCCGTAAAATGTGGCACTATGGTTTTTATTTTTTAACCATCAGGATTTACATTTGGATTAAGAGTTTGTGGTTAGAAAGCAACTTTTGTCTAGTAGGTATGATGTGGAGCTATTACATGTTGTCCATACCTATTTGAAGACCTAGCTCGATTAAACTCAATGAAAATAATGGAAAATGGTTGAAATATCACACAAATCGAGGATATGATGAGTCTAAAACATCAAAATTGCTTAAAATGAATATTCACATTGTATGACAAAAAGATAGAAATTTATCAAGAAAGCACACAAACTTCACCCATTTTGCAAAACAAATTATGCTGACATATTCAAAATGTTAAAATTGTCAAGAAAGGACACTCATAATGCATGGATTATTACACAAGCAAAATATTAGTTTATTCACACATGAGGGATGATGAATTACACGAAAGCATCGATTCACATTTCAATTTTACTTTATTCTTTAAAAATAATATATGAATGCATGTATGTGTGTGTGCGTCCCTCTCTCTCCCTCCCTCTCTCTCTCTCTCTCTCTCTCTCTATATATATATATATATATATTATAATAAAAATTCTCATACTCTCTAAATCCCGTCGAACTTACATGCCCCCACAAATCATGTTGCTTTCTTGTACCCACCCATCCATCAACTGCACTAAGCTTCCTTAACTTTTATCGTTTTGGTCAAATAAGAAGAAAAAATGTTCATTGTCTCTAACAAAATTGATTGATGTCCTCTCTTGTTTCGCTAGCCCTCATGCATATTCCATCTCTTCTTTTCACTATTTCTCACACGATCCTCCCAGCATTCCTCTTCCCAAACCCTTCTCACCCCAGACCTATGCAGACACCCTCATCTTGATCTCATAACTCCTTCAAGTCTAGTGAATAACGATGATTGTATGTTCTGAAATAGCTTTAGATATTTGTGCATTGCAATGGTTTTTTAACTTGCATTGAACCTAGATTTTAGACTTGGATCAATTGCATCATTACTGTTTTTATCTGGGTTAGAGTGTTAGTGTTCACAGTAATGCTAGCGATATTATCTCTTCCACGATATTGTTAGTCTTTCTCATCCTATCGTGCTTCTTTATGCCTGAGACAAATAAGATAATATTACTTAATTTGAGTTAATGTGCACTCTAACCCAAGCATTCTAAATTCTTATGAAGATTTTCCGTTAATTATCATAATGGTTTTTTATATGATTCATATATAACTCAATTTTAATTTTTTTTACCTTGGTCGCACTTTTTGTTATGATTTGGCTTTGATACTTTTGTATTATTAATACACGAATAGATGATATAACGAAAATTCAAGTTTTATTTACTTACATGAACTACTGTAAAAAAATATCTATTCAAATTTTTTTTTAATTATGATAACTTCCAATAAATCAAAAGAGCTATTAAAGTATAAGATTTAAACTAATTGAAAAGCAATTTTAATATAAGAGTTATTCGCTTGTACACCACACCTTTAATATACAGATTCTCTTTGTTGCCTCACTAGTTCTCATATTCACGCCCTGAAAATATTTATTAATATAAACATTTATGAGTTATCAACAACACACTTGATTGTCATTCTTTTAAATTACAGTAACTCACAGGAGTTGAAAAGAAAAACATACTGATTGATAATATATAAGATCATAAGCATTCAATAGCACGAGTAAAAATTAACTATATCCTGTCTTATCTTTTCCGTTTCACTTGCTTATATATTACATTTATCATGGGAGAAATTAAGGTAAAATATCTTGATTGTTGTTTTAAGAGCTCATTGATCAGCATATATCGATTAAAAAATGAAAGGGAAAATGAGATTTCCCATGGACACGAAAACTCATTATTTATATAAATATCATTAGAGATTCTGTAAATAACAAAAAAAAAAAAAGCATCTCTGACGTGCCATGCTTTGCACTTTGTTATTTATTATTATTATTATTTCAGGTTTGGCTCTTGTAACGATGAATGAGGCATTTTTGTGGACTGATGGAAGGTACTTCTTGCAAGCTGCACGACAGCTGAGTAATCGGTGGAAACTTATGCGCATTGGAGAAGATCCTGCTGTGGAAAATTGGATAGCCGATGTAATGCCCCCCAACCCCCTCTCTTTTCTTTCTATCTCTTTTTGGGTGTGTGTGTGTGCGTGACATTTGCCAATGGTTTTGTTATAGAGCACTGTTCTTGTTAGTTCCTATTTAGATAAATTATTTGGGGCTGTGTTTGCTTTTTTTTTTTCATCTTTATTCTATTTGTTATAGTTGCAAATCATTTAATTAGAATTCCCACCCACCTTTTATCATCAATATTTATTTAAACAATATTTTTTACTTCTCGTCATAGCAGAACCTTCAGAGTGAGGCTGCTGTGGGAATTGATCCATGGTGTGTATCTGTAGATACTGCCCAAAGATGGATGCAAGCATTCTCAAGAAATAGGCAAAAACTAATTCAACTTTCTGTAAACTTGGTTGACAAAATTTGGATAGATAGACCTGCAACTCGAATTCGACCTGTAAACTTACAACCATTCAAATTTACTGGCTGTACTGTAGCTGATAAGCTGAAAGATCTTAGGGGAAAACTTGTTCAGGAGAAAGCTCGTGGAATTTTAGTCACCGCACTTGATGAGGTATCTGATTGATTCTTTCAGATCTTTTGTTTGGGGTGGTTTATGTACTATTTTTAAAAGTCTCTTCACGCATGTTTCATTCCACTTATAATTTACTAATATAGTTGTCCTTAAATTGTTTTGCATGTTGGCTTAACGTTATAAAATATGGAGGTTGCTTGGCTTTATAATATTCGTGGAAATGATGTATCCTTCAATCCAGTTGTTCATGCATATGCTATAGTAACGACTGACTTGGCTTTCTTTTATGTGGACGAGAGGAAGGTGTCTTCTGAGGTCAGTTTTCTCTGTCAGTTAATATTTCATTTCATGCACCAGGCTTGTTTTTCTGGCATAAAATTTTAAATCCGAGTTCTGTTGCCATTTTATATTTTTCTCCATCCTTGACTATTTTTTGGTTTCTATTATATTGAATTTAAATTTGCCCTTTGGATCTTATTCATCATTTTATGATTAAATGGATTTTTTTTAGTATGCTTTAAACATGCTTGCTCTACAAGTTGAATCATTCATCAATAGGATTATTTTTTTTACTGAATTCTACATTTTTCTTAACACACTTCTCATGAAATTGATAGTGTTGGCACTTGGCTCCATGGGTTTGTACTCCATGAATGGAAGAGTTGGCTGCATATGTGGAAGTTGAGCTCTTATCTAAGACATGGGAATAATTTGGTGCTAAAAACTAACCCTTGGCACTAAATGTCTTGCTGATATTGACACAAAAGATTTTGTTTTAAGAGCTTTGTCTGATTATACTTTGGAGCTAATCCAATATTGATTGCTTATATGCACGGTAGGAATTAGGATTTCAAGTTAGAGGGAGTGAATGTGATACCGGAACTAGTAGTAAAAATAATGAAAACACAAAAATAAACTTTCATTAATATTAAAATAGGGTTACAACATGACTTCAACATGACTTGAACGGAAATAACTGAACGGAAATAACAACACAAAACAACACAAGCAAACACTCCTAAATGTATCCCAATGAGTGGTAGAGGTTGGCTAGAGGGATAGGGATGATTGGGAGGGATGACGGCAACCACGGGAGGCGGGTGGTGGTGAAGGGAAGATGCAAAACTGTATGGACAACAAGTGGGAAGGGTTCTAGGTGGTCGACAACGGTAGTGTGGAGGTTGGGAGAAGCTGAAAGGGGTTAGGGAGGCGGGACAACAATAATAACCTTTAGGAAGGGAGAATGGTTGGGTGTTGGGGTGACGGAGGGAGAGTTTGGCGGTTGTGGAGTTGGAAGAAGAAGGTTTGGGGAAGGTAAAAGGGAGGATACAATCACTATCTCAGAGAGGACCATCGAAGCACCACCACCTCCTCGGATACAACCCACAAAGGGGAAAAGAACTTTGCACAGGAATCTGAGAATAAATACAAACACTATTGACTCCCACATACACAAGACTAGTAATGTATAGACTCCCAAAAAAACTTTTACACTAAAGAAAATTATGGGAAAGCGAGAAGGATACAGAAAAACCCTTCTTGAAATTCATGCAGGCATCGCCCCCTGGTTCGCGAAGGATCATGGGACATCTCGTGAGAATCGCGATTCCTCCTCGCCTACAGTTTTCACGAGACTTTGCAGGTCTTCTGGCGTGCAGGATCGAAGTGCCCCGTATTGGGGCACATTTAGCACCTTTACTCGGGCGCTGATTTCAGCACCTGCGTCTGTCTTTTTGGATTGGAGGAGCTTCGACTTCATAGATCGAAGCTTTAGTTTTGTTGTCATCCACCTTGGATCCCACTGACGACTACATTGTCACCCGAGGTATTTGAGGGTCTTCCTCAATTTTCGAGCCAATGTCCATATCTATCTGTCCTCTTGAGGTTGTGGACCACGCTTACACTGCTGAATCTTCTAAAAGTAACCCATGATCAGTTCAAATGGGAGTGCATTGAGAGTGTTGGTATGACGTCGACCGGACATAACCTCAGCCGTATCCTTCCTGTATCTGAGGCAGGTGTCTCGGTACTCTTGTCTGGTGTCATTACTAATATTGGTCCCACTAACGCTGCTTTGCTGATAAGGGATTCTGTGAACTCAAGCTCCATCGAAGGAAAGAGGATGATGCGCTTCCCGTTCTTGGTGAAAGAATACGTGTTTCTATATCCGCCATGTTGAGTCCTTCGATCAAACTGTCTTGGTCGTCCCAACAAAAGGTGGCAGACATCTAAGGGAATCACTTCACACCACACATGTTTTTGTAGTTGCCATCTGATCGAAAACTGTACTAAGCATCTTTGGCGCTGCTGCCCCGAGTCTCCTTCTTCAGCCACATTAGTGAATATGGCTAGGAATGCTTCTGCATCGCAAGCCCTAATCTCTATACTATCTATGTCGATGCCACATTCTTGCTGTTGTTGTTGTCGATGATTAGACTGGATACTTTTCCGTTCATTGTGCAGGGGGTGTAGAGTATATTGTGGCAAAACCACTGTGAATCCCTAGTACTCTCAGTCTGCAGGATTCGTCGAATCATGAGCACCTTCTCTTCATCTAGGGGAGGCTGATACTCATCCTGTTCTTCAGCTTTCTCCTCATTGTTAATCTCTTCCACAGCGTCCTGATCAATAAGTGAGACTACTTTACTCGTAAAACAGTTGGAGACTATGTGACAGTAACTGTGACGTCTGAAACATTTCCGGACTGCTACAGTGTTGGAGGCGCTACCTTTCTCTTGCTTCTCGCTCTGATTTAGACTGTTATTTTTGTTTTTGGGCTGGCTAGTCTCTCTTGGGGTGCCATTGTCGGTCGTGGTGACTCTAGGTGGCTGCTTGTCTGAAGGTGGTTGCCTCAAAAGTGTTTGTTGCCCGCTTTGCTTTTATTGTCTTTCAACTTTCAATGCTAATGTTTGGACATCCCCTAGTGTTCAGTATAACTGCAATTGTACCACATTGCTGATGACAGGTTTCAGACTCTCGAGGTATCTGGTTATCGTATGTTCTTCTTGCTCCGTCAACTCGCATTTAAGCTGCAAGTGATTGAATTGGGCTGTGAACTTCTTAAATGAAAGTTCATTTGCTGCAAGTTGTGGAGTTTCAGAAACATATCTTAGCGATAGTGGGGTGGGAGGTACTTTTTCTGCATTGACTTCTTCTTCTTTTCCTACTTAGTTATCTTCTCACCGTCTTCTCTTCTCCTCTGCTTTTGTAGATTTTCCCACCATAGGAAGACATTTTTCTTTAGTTTAATGACAACTAACTTGACATGTTTGTCCTATGGTATATTTTTATATTTGAAAATCAGTTCAAATGATTGTAGCCAGTTAATAAGCTCATCGGGATTCATACCACCTTTAAATTTTGGGAGGTTCATCTTGATACCAAAGTTTCGCTGACCTCCATAAGGGGCCTCTTCTCTTGGCCTTCTTTGATATTAGATACCAAAATCGCGTGGTCAATATTCCTCGTCACAGTGATCTTCCCCGCAGAATAGATTCGTCTCCTCTTCCCTGTCTTCTCTTTGATTTTGTCGATCACTGTCGAAAGTAACCTCTTCTTTGTCCTCTGTCATCTGGCTCTGCAATTCTCCATTGTAGACGACAATTTTCTCGTTAAATCTCTTCCCAGGTCAAGTCCAGTGTACCTCTTCGCGGTGGCATGGCCAGGGTTGGACATCAGCAAGAAAAATTTGGTGAAGGTGGCTTGGGTATGGGCAGATCCGAGAAAATCCTAGAATGTGACTAGGGTTGGACTAGTTTTGATACCAAATGATACCAAAACTAGTAGGAAAACAGTGAAACTTAAAAACAAACTTTCAAGAATATTAAAATAGGGTTACAACATGACTTAAATGAAAATAACAAAAAAATGTAAAACGACACAAGCAAACACTCTTAAATGTATCCCAATAGGTGGTGGAGGTCGGCTAGAGGGATAGAGATGATTGAGAGAGTGACAACAGTTAGGGAGGTGGGTGGTAGCGAAGGGAAGGTGTGGAACTATATGGACAGTAAGTGGGATGAGTTGTAGGTGGTTGACAGTGGTAGTGTGGTGGTTGGGAGAAGCTGAAAAGAGTTAGGGAGGCGGGACAACAGTAATAGCCTACAAGAAGGGGGATTTGCTGGGTGTTTGGGTGATGGAGGGAGAGTTCGGCGATTGAGGAGTGGGGAGGAGAATGTTTGGGGAAGGTAAAAAGGGAGGATACAATCACCACTTTAGAGAGGATACAACTGAAGCAACACAACCTCCTTGGATGCAACCCACAAAGGGGAAAATAACTCCACACAGGAATCTGAGAATAAACACGAACAATACTCACTCCTACACACACAAGACCAACAATTTATACTCCCATGAACCTTCAACACAAAAGAAAAGGGTGAGAATACGAGAACAATCCAGAAAAACCCTTCTCGCAATTCCTGCAGGCATCGCCACCCCCACCCCCCCTCTTCCTCTGGTTTGTGAAGGATCACGGGACATCACGTGAGAATCGCGATCCCGCCGTCTACAGTTCCTGGGAGACTTCACTAGTCTTTTGGCCTGGCGATTGAAGCACCCGTATTGCGGTCGACCGCTAATTTCAGCCCCCAAGTCAAAATGTTTACATAAAACTTACGTTGCCAAAACTTCTATAATATAAATGATTTCAAGTGAGTTTAAGGGGGTTTTTTGGTTTGGTGAAAATAAGTTGCAATATAAAAGATTTGCATAGCACTATGATTACAATGTATTTGAAATACTTTCGAGTGGTTTGGTTCACTATAAAATAAATGTAGGACTTTATATTTTTTTTTGTTTGGTTTGAAGTAGATGGAAAACAATGCATTTCAGAATATATTTTTTGTCCAAAGGCAGTGGAGGGTCTGTAAATAGCTAGTGGTGGGCAACGGCGGGCCAAAGTAGGGGAGTGGGGGGGGGGTCTTGCCTATAGTATTTTATTTGAATGGTGAAATTCAAAATTCAGCCAAACAGATCAAATTCTAAATTCATTCAAAATGAACTACGGTGTAAACTTCATTCATTCACACTCTACACTGTATTTGTAATTCTTCGTACTCGACAAAATTTTCTCAAATTCATGCAAAAAAATTATAGTACACCACAAATTCACTCAACTAGACCACCCCTAAAATTTAAAATTTTAAATAATACATCACTTTTATTGAATTTCTCAAGTGCAAGTGGGCAAGAATGGAATGATGGTGATGAAGTGAGTGTACATCCAAATCAAGAAAATCTTTGGTGTTATATTTCTTTATTATGCAATTCTGTGTTTTATGATTTATTGAGGGTAATTAGATGCCAATACTGAAGATTAATGCTAACCTTACACATGATAACAATCTAATCTGTGGATCAAATTATTTTTAAAATTTCATTTCTTCACGGTGACTCTGAACCGTTTCATCTTAAAAACTTGTGCTTTTCCTGGCTTTGATTGTAAATCTGTTACCCTCATCCACCCCAAAATCATAGATTTTAGTCACGAGCTGTTCTGTTTGTTGCTAAGATCTGCTGTAAATGGTACTTTGTTTTAGGGAAAAAATGGGAAACGAAAAGTTTCATGTGCTAAGTTATATGTTGATTTTATTTTAGTTTCAAGCGATGCCAAAGGATTTTATGAGGTCTTTCTGCTCATTTCATCTGCTACCATGCATGAAATGAGAGTTCCCTTGTTCCCGTCTTTCTTTAAAATTCATGAATGTGCAAATTTTTTGTATGTAAATCATTGGATGTAGGTACTTGACGCTTTGTCTGAAAATGGCATAGAAGTTCGGGAATACAGCATTGTTGACGCAGATGTAAGCTTGCTGGCATCCGGGAAACTAATGAGTTCTTCTGCTGCTAAGGGTCGGGACTTTGACATTGATGCACTTGAAAATGCAGAAAATTTTGTTAACTCGGGAAAAATTGAAAACGAGACTAAAGGAAAAAAGCAACTGATATGGATTGACCCGGCTTCTTGCTGTCTGGCCTTGTATGCAAATTTGAACTCAGATCAAGTTCTTATGCAGCAATCACCTTTGGCCCTCGCAAAAGCTCTTAAGGTGTGTTTGACATGATTTCAGTTTTAACGAAGTAAATTATGCTAGTCTGAATTAATCATTAATTTGGGCATACTATTGGAATATCATTCTTTTTCTATGAAGAATCAAACCCATTTCATATATTATGTTCAATAGTTGCAGGGTAAAACTTAGTCAGAATTCATAATTTGAAGAAAATTTTTGTACTTTGGATACTTCAAATCTTTTGAATGAAATTGCTCCGAGTGCAATTATATAAACTTCATTGATTGGCTGATGGAGCCTATACTTCTTCACAGTTGAACATTGGCTGGCGAGGGAAGTATGATTACAAATTTCTCATATGGTACCTCTGCCAGAGAAGTATATTAATACCGAATCTTTAAACCTTCAATTTTATTTACCTTTCTCTTTGGTAAAGGCGTTAAGCTTGGTCCAATGACAGGGAGAATGGTATTTTTACTAATTTGGACAGATTCTCCTCTCCCTATTTTTGAATTAAGGTTTTACCCATTAATGTATAACTAACTCCTTAAATCAAAATGAAATTGTATGGCTAAGTCTTATGTCTTATCAAAGTAACGATATTTTCTCGGTGGAAAAATTACATATTACTGGTAATGGTGTTAAAGGCTTGGTTACAAAACTTAGGCTGTTGAGAAGAAGGTTTAAGTTGTGGAAAATAAATATTCAAATTCTTTCTGGTGATGAAAACAGATGATTTTAGCTAAAAATGATAACATTGCATGTTAGGCTGAATTTTGTTCTTTGTTTCCCATTAGAGTAGCTTGAAGAATAAGATTCCTGTAGGTCTTGGTTTCACAAGAAGTTGAAAGTAGAAGAAATCTAACGGCATTCGAAGTCAAAGGGTAATTGTATCCTGTGGGTGACAATAAATACCAGTTCTACTTTCATAAGTATGCTAATTGGAGAAGAAAATTGAAATTTATTTATCGTATTTTTGGGATTATTTTATTATTTTGGTAGCTATTGACTTCTCCAAGAATCATCTCTCTTTGGAGTCCTTACACATCGCTTACTGTAGCTTCTTTCAACTCTCGCGGTTTCATCTATTGCGGTTTTGTGAGTACAACCACCACACAAGAAGAGGTCTTCAGTTTTTCCTTCATCCATTTTGGTCCATTGTGGATTTGCCTTCCTTGCATGTCACTTGTTGTCGCTTGCATCGCCTACTATGGGCACATGTGCTCTTTGTCGCCGCTTATTCTGCTTATAGGGATTTGTGCGATTTCATTTGTGCTAGGTTCACTTGGGGTGCTTTGCTTGGACTTCTATCTCATGTGAGGCATGTGTGGAGGTTCTTGTCGGGATTCTTTGTTTGTTATTGTTGACACCTTCTAGTGGAGTCAATGCTCTTTCTGTTCATTATAACTTTTGCTAATAGGGCTACTTTCAAGTAAGGATATTTCTACACTTGATAGGCTCTTCACTTATCAACAAATTTTCTATGGGTGTTGTAATGCCCAATTTTTGAGAAATCAATTAAGATCGACAAATTTTAAAAGTACCTTGAATTTCACACCTTTCAAAATGTGCTCAAGTAATTTTATAAAATTCTATGCATGAAATTGAACAATTTGTTATAAAGCATTACATGTAAATTATGAATGGTTTGGGAAATATAAAAGTTAGAAGTTATATGTTTTATTAACTTGATTAAATTTTAATTATTTTAATTAGCCCTTCCCTTAATCCTCTTATACTGTAGCCATCCAACCTCTCATGCCTTTTATTTCCATTCGTTCGGTCGAATAGGGCAGACGAGCTCCTTCCACTCTCCCTCACTCGATTCTCTCAATCGCATCCCTCCTACGAAGGAGCTTTATTTGGTCCCTATAGCAAAACCGCAACCCTTTCTACAGTGCAGCGGCGCGAATAGACGAACCGAGTATCACGAAAGGTTGCCGCAACTTACGATCCAGGCTTTTGGGGTGAAATCTTAGGGTACGAATCCCTCTCTCTTGCTATTCTAATTATTCATTTCCTTCCTCTCACTTTTGTTTTGACATTAGCCTCATTTTCCGTGCTTTTCTCATTTTCTGTAATCGTCAGAGGCGCTGAACTCTTGTTGGAAGCGTTGAAAGTGATTTGAATGCTTTCGTATGGCTTTTAACATAAAATCACCGAGGGGAAGGTGAATATTAAGACGTTTGGAAGTGTTAGAGAGAAATTTGGTGTTTTCGGAAAAGCAAATTTATGCCGAAAATCCTTTTTGAGGTTTGTATTGGAAATGAATCCATGTGTTGAGTTAATTCATGTTTTGAACCAAAATTTATGAAACCCTATGTTGTCTACGAGTCTCAGTTTGTTTATACGAGGCAGCGAGCACGAGACGAGTGTGTGGACACCCGTCGTAGGGCTGCTCCGTCGTGCCAAGTCAAATAATATTGGGCTAATTTAAGAAAAATGCTCTTCTATATGTTTCATATAATTTCTTTTTTGACACAAATGTATTTAGAATTTTTGCATATCGTAAATGGATATCGACAATTGAATGTATTAGTACGTGTTTACTTCTCTTTACATATGCTATGGTATGATACATGTGATTAAGCTTATGATATTAATTGCCTGCAAGTATTCATTTATTATGCTTCATGCCTATGATACATGTTTTGTCTTATATGCTTGATACAATAATGATGATTTAAATTTCACAAAAAATGTTAGGGGTAGATTATTACAGGAGTTCTTGCAAGCACATTATGTAGGGAGGTAGCATTCCCAACTCGATATTTATACGGGGACGATACTCTGAGAACCGTTGGAATTAGGTGGTGACAGAATGTTAGAGATCCTGGGTATCAGAGAGGTTGTCGATAATTGCTATGCTGGGGGAAACCCAACATTTATCGATAGTATTTATGACATTTGGGGCAGAGTGATGACTCATGATGAAAGACATAGAAATAGTTGGACCTTATATATTAAAGAAGTGACATTATTATGATATGACCTCTATTATGAATATGCTTTTATTAATGATTTTCTGTTTACGACCTGCATGTTACACTACAGTTGATTTTTATACTACATGTACATGTTTCCTTTTCATGTTTTTTACTATGCTAGCATGTTATGATTTATGTGTAGACATGTACAGTTTCCTAGGAGCATGCATATTTTTTTTATGTATGAAATTTTATGTTATCCATGATCATTTCTCTGAGCTCGTTATTGCTCATTCTTAATTATTGCCTTCCTGGTAGGGGCACGAGCACTGGGGCGAGTAGTTAGGTTTGTCTTTGTATAGATTTTACACGATAGTTTTGGGATCCTTATACATACATTTTGGGTATGTATATTTTTTATCATACTAGATTTAACAACTCTGTATAATTTTCATATTTTGATGATATGATTTCTATGCTTATGAGTATGTATTTGAAATGCAGTCTATCACGTATGTTGTGACGATCCAGTTAGACTAATTCATCACCCACTGAGTACTGATTATAAAAGTTAGGATGAGTGCTTGTGAGAGTTGGTCTGAAAAAATTGCCATCCTCTGTCGCACCTCAGCTGACCCTAAAGGGTTAGGGGGGTGCAGTTGGAGTGTGATAGTTGCGCTTCCATGGTCTTGTTTTGAAAATTCATGTTTTATTTTGTCCTGTTTGGTGATTATTTTGCTGGATTCATTGGTCCTCAACATTTCATCATAAGGCTTACTTTAAAATAGATTATATCAAACTATTTTCAAAGGGTTCCAATTTTATTAATGGGCTCTCTATATACATGTTAGTATGGTCCCGTTATTTTGATTGTTTTATGGAGCCTTTTGTTACTTTAATTTGGATTTCATTTTTGTTACTTCATCTGCATTGTATTAACTATTCTACATTATTCCCCTTGGCTACTAAAATGCAAAATGCACATCTTTTAAGGAAATGGATGCTACTACTTTTCCATATGGAGGTTTGGATTGCGTCCTCATTTTCGGGATATTGGTAGAATGTTGAATTTAAAAATATTCTCACATATTGCTTTTCTTGCCATTTTTTGGACTTAAAATTCTTTGATCATTTTAAAGCTCATTCCGAGCTTAAAAATCCTCAACTTCAAATGCAGGATCTTTTACTTGATAACCTTTTGGTAGAAGATCACATTTTTCTTTGAGTTATGTGCTCAAAATTTTATGACAAGATCAAATTTATTTTAGGAGAAAGTGCATGATATTTCTGCTTTTGCTGTTCTTGGTATTAGTCACTTCATCCACTGATGAAATTATCTCTGGGACTTTTCTTTATAAGAGTTGTATGAATTTGAGAGATGGAAGGTTTTTATAGTTTATTTTTGGCATGCTGTGTGTCTAACATTGGAAGAGATTTTACGGTCTTTTTAATTTTATCTTGCATGTCATGATGCTGGATTAAGATTTCACCTCATAGAGGCATCCTTTCATTACGAAGAATTTGCAATCTTTGGGATATCTTCTTCTGCTCATGCATTTTTATGATCCAACGTCCGTAGGTTGTAGAGGTCGGAGTTGGGAGCTACACGAGCTGTGAAAACGTCCGTAGGTCGCAGAAGCTGGATTTGGCTGTAATAATGTCCATAGGTTGCAGAGACTGGAGTTGGGAACTGCATGAGCTGTAAGCCACGTAGGCTATAGTTGATCACATGCCATAGTGGTGAGCTGCGATGACGATCGTAGGTCGCAGAGGTTGGTGTCAGGAGCTGCACGGATTGTAGACCATGCAAGCTGTAGTGGTGTCTCGTAATAACGTTTGTAGAGACTAAAGTTGGGGGATGCAATAATGTTTGTAGGTCGCAGAGATTGGAGTTGGGAGCTGCATGAGTTGTGAGCTTCGTAGGTCATAATCGATCACATGGGCCGTAGTGGTGACCTATGATGATGACCGTAGGCCACGAAGGCTAGATTTGGGGGTTGCAATAACATTTGTAGGCCAAAAAGATTGAGTTGGGAGTTACCTGAGCTGTGAGCCACGTAGGCCACAGTTGATCACATAGGTCGTGGTGGGGAGTTACACTGTACTCGAGGTGCGTTATTACTTCATTTTCGAAGCGTAATGTTGCACCATCTTTAGGGTACGTTGTCGTACCATAGTTAGGGTGTATTGCTGCACCATCTTCGGGTTGTATTGTTGCATTGTCTTTGGGGTGACACTATTACATCTTTTGTGGGACACTTTCATGCACCTTTTTTGAGATGCGTTATTGCACCGCTTTTAGAGTACGTTCCATTATCTTTGGGGTGTGTTGCTGCATCTTCTTTGAGGGGAGCATAATTACGCTTCCTTCGTGTTGTGTTGTTGCATCGTCTTTGTGATGCGTTGTTTCACCTTCTTCATGGTGGCGTTGTTACACTACCTTTAGGTGCTCTCTCACTTCGCAGTGTATGTAGTGATTCCACGATGCGTGACATAATTTTGCTCTTTCTTCCAGTCCTTCTTTAGGCTCAGGTCTAAGTCCCCTTTCAAGATGATTGTAGGGATTTATTTATAGAGTCTGTGAGAGGCCTTCTTACAAATAAGGAAGAAATTCAACCCATTCCATTGGACGACCCAGAGAGTTTTTCTCTATTGGACTACGTTCTGTGGAAATTTGAGTGCTTTAATGATGTTAGAATTGAGAGATTTCAGACTAGTTGGATCGTCTTGTAATATTTGAAACTCATTTGACCTTCCATTTAGACACTGAAAACTTCAAAAAATAGCTTAACAGCTAGATCCAAGCTTGATTTGACTCGCATTGAATCAACTTTGGTGTCATTGGGTCTGTCTCGTCTAGCCGGTTAGTTTAACTGTAAGTTTGTTGAAAGCAGATTTTTGGATGATTTTTAATTGAAGTATGAATGTTTATTACTTCAAAAATTACCTCGAGATTCATGTCTTACCTCTAGATTTGTGCTGGATGATGGAAATTTATTGATGGTGTGTAATTATGATTTACTGCTGTAAAATTTACTTGCTACTATTACTGTATTTGGGCCCAAATCATTGAAGAAGTGATTTTAGAAATCTCAATTAGCATGTTATTGATCTTATCTTGTTAGAAACCTTGTGCATAGTTTCCATAATATGGAAAATATTTAGTGTAAGGAATACTTTTTTGGCAAGTAGATGTTTTATGAAAATTTCTTTCAATTTATTATTGAAACTATCATCCCTCTTCCAAGAAATTTTAGATAGTTGATACTTTCAAAGTGAGATTCCTTTTCACATCTTTACAAGTGTTGTTAGCTGCCTCACACAATCGGTGACTTTGCTAAGCAGGCGGATGCTTTCTGGGAAGCTTCAATTACTTCTCATCTGTTGAATCTGTCATTATTTGAGGAGACAAATTATGTCTTCAAACTCTCCTTTATATCCAATCTATATGAATGTTATTGTTCTTTTAATCCATTGGTAAAAAGGGTTATTTTATGTTTGTTGTCCCATAATATCTATTTTGTGCATTGTTCAGTTTATTATTATCATTATTGTTTATCACTCAGTTTATATTTCCCTTCCTATATTGTCTTATCACTTGTTTTGCAAGCTACTTCTAGTCTTATAGTCTGATTTGATTTATAGATTTGGCAAATTTACATTTCTCTTCTTCCTCATGTATGCATTTTTGAAGCAATCATGTATGAATTTTTAAAGCCAAAGGCCTGAACTATTGTTATTAAGCTTCATTGATGAGGTAACAAATCACTGTCATCTTATTGAAGAATCAATTTGAGTTGGATGGTTTAAGAAAGGCGCATATCCGGGATGGTGCAGCTGTTGTTCAGTACCTTGTGTGGCTGGATGGTGAGGTGAGTTATTTTGCAGTATATTTTCTATCTGTATCCTTTTGCATCGATCTATTTTATTTTATTGTCTTAATTTGTATTCACGTTCTATTTGAACTTTTCGTTGACTTGGACGCTGGTTCTGGTTAGTATAATTGGGTGGTAATAACGTTTCTGATCATGTTGTTATATTCATGCTTGCTTTCAGAATGAGCATTGAATTGCTTTATTCCATATGGAAAATGATGAGGATTAACGATTTCGGTTTTGAATGTTGCCTTTCAGATTAAATTTGATACTATTATTCTTTTTGTTCTAGTTATAAGATAATGCATGGTTGCAATGCATTGAATTGTTGTAAGAGAATTGATAATCTGACCTGTGAATTAAAGAGCAGAAACAATGCTTGTTAATTGTCTTCATATATTTAGCTGGCAATCTTGGCCAGATGATTAGTTTGCTGAAGCTTATTGGGCTATCTTAGAATCAATTAGTAATTGTTTGCCTTTGTGCATTAACTTCAATTCCCGTAGAGGCTAAGCTGTTTAGATCTGTGACATAATTATCATGTGTCGTTTTACTATTTTTGGGCTCAAGTCTCAGAGGAGTGATTTGTTGAAATTCATGGATTATGTTTGAAACACTTTTTGGCGTGCCTACTTCACGAGTCTTGTATGCCATACCTTCTATAAGAGTTTATCATCGTTTTTTCCTCCTTCCAATATTCTACTGCATCAATTTTACTGGTGAATGAAATACTAATGTATCTTTATTGAACTTCAGTGAAGTTTTTGGGCACTTTTGGGACCTAAAGATAGAATGTTCATTGTTATGTATGATAAGAACAGTCATGTGGCTAACTAGGGGAACTGCCTTATTGTATTTCTTTAACTATTTGGTCAATCTCTATTGTAGAGATAAAGCCATGCTATCAGTTTGTTGAATAATTTTCCATCTAGCTTGTAATATATATTTTTTTGGTTTGGATCTATGTTAGTGTAGAAATATTGAGTGACTCAGTCTAGCCCAAAACTTCAACTTTTAAAAATGGGTTAAACCATTACTGTTTGGATCTGGTCTTTCCTTGACATGCTATTGTTTCACTTTGCAATAAGTATTATTAGAGTCAATGATTTGACTAGGATGGAGTGATTCTTGTAGTTTGTAAATCCTATGCATCTTGGCTGCCTTCTACCATGGTCAAGCATTGAAGAGCGGGTGACTCCCACAACGCCACCATGGAGTTGAGTGGATTCTTATGGTTTGGTACTTGATAGTGCTGATAATTTTTTTTAGGACTGAGGGATGGTGTAGAATGCCCTTATGTGAGTGAGAAATTATTAAGATTTGTGGAAGCCTTGGGTTACTCCACATTGATAATTGAAAATTTGTTGGTGTAAAATTATCAAGTGGTTGGCCCATACGTTTGAATGGGTTTAACCGTTGATATTTCTGGCCAAAATTTGATCCTTTTTTGCGTAACTCCATAATACATAGACATTTTTTTGTGCTTTCTTTCTAAACATGTTAGCCTTTATCATCTAAAACTCTCGCATTATTTCAGCAAGATGAAATGGGTTTGCAACTCACTTAATTTTTTGCTGTTGATTACACAATCATTTGTTATTTGCATATGAAGTTATAATCGTGATAATCTATTAAGCTGAATAATTTATGCAAAGATATCCTGCTACTGGAGGAGAAAATCCTAAACCACAAAAAGGAACACAAATATTATTATTGAAATTAAAATTGATTACAACGACGAGTCATAACAACTCACAACAGAAAAAGGAAAGAAAGGCAGGACAAGTCCCAATCTTGCAATGGCGAGGATTGATACTTTCAAAGTGAGATTCCTTTTCACATCTTTACAAGTGTTGTTAGCTGCCTCACACAATCGGTGACTTTGCTAAGCAGGCGGATGCTTTCTGGGAAGCTTCAATTACTTCTCATCTGTTGAATCTGTCATTATTTGAGGAGACAAATTATGTCTTCAAACTCTCCTTTATATCCAATCTATATGAATGTTATTGTTCTTTTAATCCATTGGTAAAAAGGGTTATTTTATGTTTGTTGTCCCATAATATCTATTTTGTGCATTGTTCAGTTTATTATTATCATTATTGTTTATCACTCAGTTTATATTTCCCTTCCTATATTGTCTTATCACTTGTTTTGCAAGCTACTTCTAGTCTTATAGTCTGATTTGATTTATAGATTTGGCAAATTTACATTTCTCTTCTTCCTCATGTATGCATTTTTGAAGCAATCATGTATGAATTTTTAAAGCCAAAGGCCTGAACTATTGTTATTAAGCTTCATTGATGAGGTAACAAATCACTGTCATCTTATTGAAGAATCAATTTGAGTTGGATGGTTTAAGAAAGGCGCATATCCGGGATGGTGCAGCTGTTGTTCAGTACCTTGTGTGGCTGGGTGGGGGGGTGAGTTATTTTGCAGTATATTTTCTATCTGTATCCTTTTGCATCGATCTATTTTATTTTATTGTCTTAATTTGTATTCACGTTCTATTTGAACTTTTCGTTGACTTGGACGCTGGTTCTGGTTAGTATAATTGGGTGGTAATAACGTTTCTGATCATGTTGTTATATTCATGCTTGCTTTCAGAATGAGCATTGAATTGCTTTATTCCATATGGAAAATGATGAGGATTAACGATTTCGGTTTTGAATGTTGCCTTTCAGATTAAATTTGATACTATTATTCTTTTTGTTCTAGTTATAAGATAATGCATGGTTGCAATGCATTGAATTGTTGTAAGAGAATTGATAATCTGACCTGTGAATTAAAGAGCAGAAACAATGCTTGTTAATTGTCTTCATATATTTAGCTGGCAATCTTGGCCAGATGATTAGTTTGCTGAAGCTTATTGGGCTATCTTAGAATCAATTAGTAATTGTTTGCCTTTGTGCATTAACTTCAATTCCCGTAGAGGCTAAGCTGTTTAGATCTGTGACATAATTATCATGTGTCGTTTTACTATTTTTGGGCTCAAGTCTCAGAGGAGTGATTTGTTGAAATTCATGGATTATGTTTGAAACACTTTTTGGCGTGCCTACTTCACGAGTCTTGTATGCCATACCTTCTATAAGAGTTTATCATCGTTTTTTCCTCCTTCCAATATTCTACTGCATCAATTTTACTGGTGAATGAAATACTAATGTATCTTTATTGAACTTCAGTGAAGTTTTTGGGCACTTTTGGGACCTAAAGATAGAATGTTCATTGTTATGTATGATAAGAACAGTCATGTGGCTAACTAGGGGAACTGCCTTATTGTATTTCTTTAACTATTTGGTCAATCTCTATTGTAGAGATAAAGCCATGCTATCAGTTTGTTGAATAATTTTCCATCTAGCTTGTAATATATATTTTTTTGGTTTGGATCTATGTTAGTGTAGAAATATTGAGTGACTCAGTCTAGCCCAAAACTTCAACTTTTAAAAATGGGTTAAACCATTACTGTTTGGATCTGGTCTTTCCTTGACATGCTATTGTTTCACTTTGCAATAAGTATTATTAGAGTCAATGATTTGACTAGGATGGAGTGATTCTTGTAGTTTGTAAATCCTATGCATCTTGGCTGCCTTCTACCATGGTCAAGCATTGAAGAGCGGGTGACTCCCACAACGCCACCATGGAGTTGAGTGGATTCTTATGGTTTGGTACTTGATAGTGCTGATAATTTTTTTTAGGACTGAGGGATGGTGTAGAATGCCCTTATGTGAGTGAGAAATTATTAAGATTTGTGGAAGCCTTGGGTTACTCCACATTGATAATTGAAAATTTGTTGGTGTAAAATTATCAAGTGGTTGGCCCATACGTTTGAATGGGTTTAACCGTTGATATTTCTGGCCAAAATTTGATCCTTTTTTGCGTAACTCCATAATACATAGACATTTTTTTGTGCTTTCTTTCTAAACATGTTAGCCTTTATCATCTAAAACTCTCGCATTATTTCAGCAAGATGAAATGGGTTTGCAACTCACTTAATTTTTTGCTGTTGATTACACAATCATTTGTTATTTGCATATGAAGTTATAATCGTGATAATCTATTAAGCTGAATAATTTATGCAAAGATATCCTGCTACTGGAGGAGAAAATCCTAAACCACAAAAAGGAACACAAATATTATTATTGAAATTAAAATTGATTACAACGACGAGTCATAACAACTCACAACAGAAAAAGGAAAGAAAGGCAGGACAAGTCCCAATCTTGCAATGGCGAGGAGGGGAGGTAGCGGCTTGTGCGTGGGGGTGGGGCTGGGGGGGGTGGTGGTGAGGTGCAATTGCAAGTTTAGGAAGGTTGGGGAAAGTGAGGCTGCAGGTTTTGGAAGGACAGCAATTGGTGTTGGGAGGCTGGGAAAGTGGGCTGCAGGTGTTGGACGGACAGCTGTAGGTTTTTAGGAGGCTTGGAAGGTGGACTGCAGGTATTGGAATGACAACTGGGGTGTTGGGAAGCTGGGCAAGTGGGCTGCTGGAGTTGGAAACACAGCTGTACGTCTGGAAGGGGGGGAAACGTGGGCTGTAGCTTCTTGGAAGGGCAGCTGTAGGTTTTGGGGAGGATGGAAAGTCTGCAGTCGTTGGAATCAAGGGAGATCTGGGCAGGTATGCGGGTGATTGGAAGGTCAGCTGTAGGTCTGGGAGGGGGGAGGTGGGCTGGTGGGCTGCAGGTTTTTGGAAGGACAGCTGTGGGTTTGAGGGGAAGATGGGAGGGCTGCACGCGTTGGAATCAGGGGGAAGATCTGGTGTAGATATGCGGGTGAGCTGGGTTTCGTGTGGGGGGAGGGATCGGCTGGCTGCGATGGAAACTTGGGTGTTGGGCGCTTGAAGGGTGGGAAAGCAGGGAGTTCCAGCAGACGGCGATGAGGGGAGATGGAGGTGGAAGTCGGAGAAGATAAATCACCACGGGGGAGAGGGATACAGCCGGAGCACCACCCTAACCAACGGACACAGTCCCACGGCTGTCCTCACAAATTCAGGAAATTGCCTAAGTTGAAAACCTAGACAGAGAACACACATTTAAATAGGAGATAGATAGGAGGAAACGAAAATGTTTGGGGAGCCCCTTCTTTCAACTGAACCGAACCGGTTCGGCTCAAACTGGTTCAACTTTTGGAGGAAAACCCCGTGTCATATCAAGTAACCATTGCAATTTGTAGGAGGTTCATTTGCTAATTCTTTTCTTTTCTATGCTTTTTAAATTGCTTTTGTTAAACGTACCGAGTATATCACTTCAATATTTTCTTACAGAAATATAGAAGTCATATTTATGTTCTCTATGTAAAAACTGAACACAGAAAAGGATCTCCAAACTTTCATTCTCCCTTCTGACTATTTTATTCCTACTTCGATTAAAAATAAAGGTGTGCATGGTGCATGTGAATCCCTCAATGCAAGATTATATGACTGGTTGATGCATGCACTCATGTCACATTACAGAGAGGCTAATCCTCTAATGGTGTTTATTTATTTTGATCAAATAAAATGCAACAATTCCTTATTGCATTTTATGGTTACATTTCAGTGGAATGGAAAATTTCATATTTTTTTTTTCCATGCTGATGCAGATGCAAAAGCTTTATGGAGCTGCTGGTTTCTTTACTGAGTCAGAGGAAACACATAAAAGAAAGCGTTCGTATGTTTTTATACTTGCATCTTTCCCT